TAAAGAGCCTAGGACTTGCCTGCTCGCCCGGAGCTTGTCACCACAGTGCACAGCGGAGAGATCGTGAGACAGGAGGAGATGGACGCTGCACGAATAGCCTGAAAAGCGTGGGACAAAAGAGGCGTCCACCCCAGGGCGCACCGAGAAACCATCCACGAGCGGCAACGCGCGGCGACGATGTTACGAAGTGCGGTCCTCAGCTCAGACTAGCATCGTGGCTGACGAGGATGTGGCCCCTGAGCATGGCTCGGAGACCACAGCCCGAGGAAGCTCCGGCAAAAGAGCAATGTGCAAGCCAAGCCCGCGAGCGACGGGGCCTGACCCGCGTGTCCACTCCGTCGCGTGCGCTCCCACTGTGGCCGCGAGCTCCCTGCCCGCCCCGCGCCGCTGCGCGCCGCGTCGGTGCCCCGCCGCGGGCCTCTGCGTGCTGCGACCTGGACCAGGGCAGCGATACCGCAGGCCGTTCTCCAGGAGCCTCTCCTTCCTTTGGCAGGCTATGAGGGCGCCGATTCGCCCGCAGCGTCAGCAGAGCGGCCGCCAAGCAAGAAAGGCGCCTCTCACGAGGCAGCGCTGCAACGACCCTGGCGAAAGTGGTCCCCTGGGCGGGCAGGGCCTGGGCGGAGGCCCCGACCAGGATCGAGAGCTCCAGGAAGGCCAGTGTCGGAGACCGCGATCTGGAAGCCTCGGCCGCGCTCCCAGAAGGCGCGCAAGGCCTCTCTGGGCCCGCGCGCTGCGGGGGGGGCCGCCGCCGCTCCCGCGGTGGGGCGGCGCGCCGATGCCGCTCGGCAAGCGCCGTCGTTGTCGTCGTCGTCGTCGTCGTCGTCGTCGTCGTCGTCGTCGTCGTCGCGTGCTTCGGTGGCGGCGTCCGCGTGTTGATGTCTTCGTCGCAGTCAGGGCCCGACGGGAGCGCAGCACGTTGGCTGGTACAGTGGGTGCGGACGGAGTCGGAGCAGGTCAAGGAAACGGAGGCAGGGTGATCTCTTATGGGAGGGGTGGGAACGCAATGAGGATTCGCACTCAAGCGATCTGGCGACATCCACAACCTTCGCACCCGAAGTGACTGGAAAGAACAATGCTGCCGGGGAAACGCAACAACATAAGCCTTCTGGCTTCACCTGAATACTCACTCGGCCCGTCTTGTCTGTCGGCGGAGTGTTGCTTTCAGGGTGCCGTCGTGATAGAGTCCGCGTTGACTGGCCAGGTACCAGAGCAATCCACCGACAAACTTTCCAAAACAAGCGCATGCACGAACACGTGAACATGTAAGTCTTAGAGCCAGAAACCAGCCTCTGGAACATGCAACCAAAAATAACAGGCTGCCAAGTGTCCTGGGATCCAGGCTGCTTCGGATGGGGTCGAACCTGTCCAGGATGGTCCCCAGACAACGTGGAAGGTCAGAAGACATGAAGACGACACCATCGACAGGCAACAGTGGAGAGTTGAAACTAGAACATGAAGCCAGGAAGGAGGGGACTGGGGGAATGGAAGAGGGAGGGGCAAGTGGGTTGGGTGGAAGCAAGGGGGGCCAGGCGCAGACGAGGCCCAGGCGCCTCTCCGACGGCAGCAACGGCTGTGACGACGACGGCGAAGGCGACGATGACGACGACGACAACGACGACGGTGGCGGCGGCGACGACGACGGGGGCAGTCGCGACGACGACGGAGGCTGCGGCGTCGACGACGGAGACGACAGCGGCGTCAAAGGAGACGACGACGGCGGCCGCAGCGACGGCGGCGAAGGCGACGGCGGCGGCGGCCGCGGCGGCGTCGAGGCCCGCCAGGGCCGCGCCAGGGCCCGCCAGAAACGCGCCTCGGCGTCGCAGCGGCCCAGCGCTGCGGCCGCCTCCGCCTCGCCGGCCCCGCGATCTCGTTCGCTCTTGTGGTCATCGTCATCGTCGTCGTCGGCGTCCTCCTCCTCCTGCTCCTCTTGCTCCTCCTGCTCCTCCTGCTCCTCCTCCTCCTCCTGTCTCTTCGCACTCCCTCTCCTCGTGTCTCCTCTTCTTCTTCCTCCTCCTCCTCCTCCTCCTCCTGTCGCTGACGCTGAGACCATGTCCAGGTCTCCTCCACCTTCTCTCTCCAGAGCCTCCCCCCTCCTGCTCCCTCCCCTTCTTTCTCCTCCCTCCTCCTCCCTCCTAAATGCTGTTCCTCCTCCTCCTCCTCCTCCTCCTCCTCCTCCTCCTCCTCCTCCCTCCTCCTTCTCCTTCTCCTCCTCCTCTCTCCTCCTCCTCTCCTCCTCCTCTCCTCCTCCTCCTCCTCCTCCTCCTCCTCCTCCTCCTCCTCCTCCTCCTCCTCTCCTCCTCCTCCTCCTCTCCTCCTCCTCTCCTCCTCCTCCTCCTCCTCCTCCTCCTCCTCCTCCTCCTCCTCCTCCTCCTCCTCCTCCTCCTCCTCTCCTCCCTCCTCCTCCTCCTCCTCCTCCTCCTCCTCCCTCCTCCTCCCTCCCTCCTCCTCCTCTCCTCCTCCTCCTCCTCCTCCTCCCTCCTCCCTCCTCCCTCCTCCTCCTCCCTCCTCCCTCCTCCCTCCCTCCTTCTCCCTCCTCCTCCCTCCTCCTCCTCCCGTCCTCCTCCTCCTGCTCCGCCTCCTCCTCCTCCTCCTCCTCCTCCTCCTTCCTCCAACTCCTTCACCTCCTCCATCCACATTCTGCCTCTTTTCCTATCCTCCTCGACATCACCTTCATCGTTTCCTCCCTCCTCATTCTCCTGCAGCTGTTTCTCGTCTTCCGCCCTCCACCTCCTGTGTCTTCCTACGTCTCCTACAACTGCTCCTGCTGCTACTTCTCATCCTCCGCCCTCCACGTCCTCTTCATCCTTCTCCCCTCTCCTCCTCATCGACTCCTAGTCCTCTTTTCTCCTCCTCTTCCTTCTCCATGTCCTCCTCCTCCTCGTCAGTCTCTTCCTCCTCATCCTCACCTCCTTTCCCTTCTACTTGTCCTTCCCCTTCTCCGCTTACACGAGTCCCCCCGCCCTCCTCGTCGTTGCTCCACTTCCAGGATGCGCAGATATGTGAGCTTCATTTCTCATCCGCTCCTCCTCCACCTTCTTCTCCCACCCCCCAGATTTAGAATACCGTGCAGAACATCTGGGCAAGATGTTGCCAGCGCGCAACTGAAAACTACACATTGTGCAGAGTACCCTAAGCAAGACTGGCGTGAAACAACATGGGACGACCCGCTACAAGTAGAACCTTCGGATTGCATTGTTTATCTTCAAGATACCTTTTCTCTTGCAACTCCGAACGCAATGGCCCGCGCGCCTCTGATCTCTTGGCCCGTGTCCGCGCTCGCTGCCCGCAGGAAGAAGCGGCCCGCTGGGCGGGCGCGGGCGCGCGCGCGCTGGCGAGCTGTGGGGAGCAGTGGCGCGCGCCCCTACGTCGCACAACTGCTGCGCCCCTGCGCGTCCGGTCTCCTCCCTTCCCTTCCTATATACACGCGTCGCCGCGCCGCCTGCTTGGCGGCGCTGCTGCCCTCAGGGCCTCTGCCGGTCGGCCGCCTCCACGACGGCGTCGCGCGCCTCCAGTACGGCCCAACGCAGCAGGAACATCCCCTGCCCGAGCCTCGAGAGGACCTCCCACCTCGCAGACTCCAAGTTCTGGAGCTGGGTGGCCAAGCGCCGCCTGGCCCTCTTTAGCGCCTGCTCGGCCCTCCGGGAGGTGTCGCCATCGCCCGCCACAATCTCCAGCAAAGCCTTTGTGTCGCCAGCGCGGAGGGCTCCTGGCAACCGCCGGCAAATGTCCGCGCCGCCACGGCCCACACGGCGAGCCAGCAAGCCAGCCGCGTCGTCACGGCATGCGGCATGCGCCACGCCCGCAGCCAGCACGAGCGCTGCGAGCGGGCCGGAGGTTGCGAGGCCAGCCACGCAGCCCGCCAGGGAGACGAACCCCAACACTCCGGCGCCCTCGTCGCCCTGCTGGTCGCCCACTGACAGCAGCCGCGGGGCGATGTGCTGCTCCGGCGGCAACGTCGCGCGACTTCCGCAGAGGCCGCCGAGGTACTTGCAACGGTCCTGCAAATCCTCCACGTGCGCCAGGATCTCCCTCTTGTCCCGGTGCCACGGCGGGCATCCTTCTGCCGCGGCTTCGAGCTCCGTAGCGGCAAGGGTGTACTGCTTGATCGCCTCCGCGGTGCGGCCCTCGGCGTCCGCAGCGAGCGCGGCGGCCTCCAGGCGGGCAGCTTGGCGGCAATGGCCTGCGCAGAGCCGCACGTCCTGCGCACCCTGGGGGCCCGCAGCGCTGGCTGGGCTCACCGCCTGCGGCCGCGCCAGCGTCTCCGAGCTCGGAGCCGCCGCGCCGCCGCGGCTCAGCCCGATGGCGGGCTCAGAAGACGGGGTCGAGGTAAGACCCTCGCTGGGCCTTGGCGGGCCCAACGGCATGGCCATGTGTAGTGCTGGGTGAGGGCGGTTTTGTCGGGGCCCTCGTGATCCTCCCAGCAGGCGCGAGCTGCTCGGAGCAGCTGGAGGTCGACACCGCTTGAGCCGATCTGTCTGTAGTCCCTGCCCTGGTTCACCCGAAGATGCCTGCATGAGGACTGGGAAGACCATGATGCAAATCTGCCACCGCTCCTGTAGCGGTTGGCGTGTCGGGCCATTTTTTGTTCGAAATTTCACTTCTGTCGGAACATCTCTCAGTCCAGCATGCGCTCGTTTTTTGACTGGTCCCATGCGCTTTTGTGAAACAACTACCCCCAAAACAAGAGGTTGGGTAGGAGCTTCCATGGCACCTGCGCCCCCCCAAGCGCCTCCCCGACCCCCCTTCCCCCGGGCGCCCACCCGAGCGCGGTGGCGGCTTCGCGCGGCAGCGCAACTGGATAACTATGCCGCGATTGAGATCACACGCAGCGGATTTGCAACAGACCGACATGCAGCGGATTCGCGAGCGATAGCTCCCGACTCAGACAGACCGCATAGTAAACTTATATTTTGGGATTCCCGAATGAATCCTGATACGATTCTGGAGCGACTCTTCTGAACCGAATTTGTCATGACACCTGTGGGCGCTTGGACGCGTGGAATCTTTGAGCCGACCTTGTTGCCGACTTGGGGGATCTTGTAAGCGTCGTGCCCTTGTCTTGATGCCTTCTAGTGGCCTTGTCGGAAGACTGGAGCCAACCACCTGTGCCAGCAAGGGGCGGTAGGCGTCCACACTCTCGAGCTATCAGCCAACTTGAACATGTCTGGCCTTGCCTGCTGGCGAAATGAAGCACAACAGGTCCTGGGCAGCTTCCCACAAGACATCGTAGGACATTTGGCGGGTGGAGCCATGGCGGGTTCCCTCCAAGAACCTCTCGGGACCCTCTCGAGCTACTCTTAGAGCGGTGCTGGAGCCGTTTGTGGGAACTTGTGCGGGTGGGGCTTCTGGGCCTGCCTCGCCGAGCCCGTACAGCGTATCGTGGCTCAGGAAAGCGGGCGGAGCTCTGTGTGCATAACCCACGAGGCGGAAGTTGCACAATCAGTCAAGCACACACACACGCAGCGACAAGGAGGGGGGGGGCAAAGAAGGGACACATGCTATATATATAGAGAGATTAAGAACAAATGACCAATATTCCTCTTCCTATATTTTTATAAGCCCGGGCGCCGGGCGGGCCCCCCCCCCCCCCCTAAAACCGGACCCCCGGAATCTGCAGCTTTGGGACCCTCCGGACGGGCCTCGAAGCGGCCCCCTGGGCCTCGCAAGGCGTTTTGCCAAGCCTTCGCAGCACACCCAGGGCGATCAGGGGGGTCACCGGAGACGTCCCAGAGACCCCCAAGACAGCACAAGAGCGCTCCAAGAAGCCGTCATACCCCGAAAGATCGCTCCAAAACGTACCAAGAGGCCTCCAAGAGCACCCCCAAGAAGGCCCCAAGAGGGAAAAATCATTGATTCTATGTAGGTTTTTGGTGCATTTGGGGTTCTCCTCCTTTCGGCTTCCCGACGCTCCAAGACGGCGGTCTCCTAGGCGTCCGAAGCCGCCTGGGAGGCTCCCAAATCGCCCCACAACCATCCGAAAGGGCTTCCAGGCAGTCCAAGAGAGCCCCAAAACGGCACAACAGGGGTCCAAAATGGACCTAAGAGAGCACCATAGCGGCCTAAGATGGCCCCAAGACACCCTCCGAAGTATTCCAAATCATGACTGGGGCGTTCAGGGAGACCGCGGTTAGAGGCAGGTTGGCCTCAGGAAACCCCAGAGGCCCCCAGAACACGCCCAGGAGGCCTCCAGAAGGCCTTAAGAAAGCCTGAGAACTTTAGTGAGGCCCCCAGAGGCTCTCCAAGGAGGAGCCTTCGCAAAAAGAGCTGAGGAGGATGGGGAGAATGCCCAGGGTATGGCGAGAATGAGGAAAAATAAGCATGGAGGAAGGACAACGAACAACATTATTACCACGGCGATTCCAGCAGGCGGAAATGGCAGGAAGGTCCTTGCTGCCTTTTCTGGCATCGCCGTGGTAATAATGTTGTTCGTTATCATCCCTCCATGTTTATTGTTCGTCATTCTCGCCATACCCTGGGCATGCTCCCCGTCCTCCTCAGCTCTTTTTGCGGAGGCTTCTCCTTGGAGAACCTCTGGGGGCCTCACCAAAGTTCTCAGGCTTTCTCAAAGCCTTCTGGAGGCCTCCTGGGCGTGTTCTGGGAGCCTCTGGGCTTCCTCAGGCCAACCTGCCTCTAACCGCGGTCTCCCTGAACGCCCCGGTCACGATTTGGAATGCTTCGGAGGGTGTCTTGGGGCCATCTTGGGCCGCCATGGGGCTCTCTTAGGGCCATCTTGGACCCCTGTTGTGCCGTTTTGGGGCTCTTTTGGACTGCCTGGAAGCCCTTTTGGATGGTTGTGGGGTGATTTTGGAACCTCCCAGGCGGCTTCGGACGCCCAGAAGACCGCCGTCTTGGAGCGTCGGGAAGCCGAAAGGAGGAGAACCCCCAATTCACCTAAACCCTACGTAAAAGCAATGATTTTTCCCTCTTGGGGCCTTCTTGGGGGTGCTCTTGGAGGCCTCTTGGAACGTTTTGGGGCGATCTTTGGGGGTATGACGGCTTCTTGGAGCGCTCTTGTGTTGCCTTGGGGGTCTCTGGGACGTCTCCGAGGGCCTCCCTGATCGCCCCAGGTGTGCTGCGAAGGCTTGGCAAACCGCCCTGCGAGGCCCGGGGGGCCGCTTCGAGGCCCGTTCGGAAGGTCCCAAAGCCCCAGATCTCGGGAGTCTGTTTTTTTTTGGGGGGGGGGGGTGACGGGTGTTCCCCCCGCCGGGGCTTATACAAATATAAGAAGAGGAATCTAGATAACACGCGAACAGCGAAGAAGTTAGGGGTCTGACGGTGAACCAGACTCAAGAATGCCCCTGCAAGCCACGCGCAAACGGGCGTCGTTGAGTCACTTGCAAATTGGAAACGAAGAGGAGGCCGGAAGGTGCAGGGGCAGAGTCGGAGACTGGAGTAAAGGGGGGGTGGGAGTGGAGCGGAGGTGGAGGGAGGATGGAGTAGAGACGGACGGAGGATTGGCCGCAGGCACACCTGCTAAACGTGTACTGAAAGGACGGACTCGATACGTGCGTACAATACGAGCCTTTCGGACCGAACCAGTGCGCAACATGCGCTCTGGTTTGCACAAGTCGTGATGCACGCCATCGGCGTACACATGAACGCACGACTGCGGGGGTATTTTCGAGGACCGCGCGCCGCTCGGAGAGGCCACGCGTCTTCTGCACTCTTCGCCCCTACCATTAAGTCGGGCATGTCCCTCTACCTGGGCAGTCGAAGCCAATCTGGCGGGTCCAATCTGGCAATCTGACACACGAAAGAAGATAGCGGGCAAGAAAACCAAATTGAGAAGGTCAGCATCAGACTGGGCTGCGCCGGACTGGCGCCGGATTGGAATTCACAGGAGACTGATGCCGGATTGGCCCCGGCGCGTCAATCCAACCTGACCGGCTGACCTTCGACTACCCAGTCTGCAGGAGAAAAATTCAAAAATAGTCAAGAAATGGTCAGGGGACACTTTTTCGACTTTTTTTGACTATTGTTGAACATGTTTTGACTATTTTGATTTTTCCAAAATCCGCCTGTAGGAGGACATGCCCGACCTAACCCCATCTTCGCGCTCTGCCGCTCTTGCATGACTCATGCCCTTGGCGCCTGGGCTTCTGCTGCGGCCCCAGCAGCAGCGGCCTGCCGTGCGCACGGGACGCAGCGCAGAATATGGAGACTCGGAGCGGGACCATCACTGTGCCGTCCAACATGCTCGCGAAAATCCGGACATCCAACATCCGACGTCTACTTGGCCGCGGACCTTCGCTCCTCCACCGCGGACTCGCAACCGTCCAAGGGTTAAACGCCTCCCACATGGGGCTCCGAGTAGACGAGGTCGTAGGATCGCGCCGCATCGCCGATGCATCGGCGATGCGGCGCGATCCAGCGACCCCATCTGCCTAGACCTCGTTTGGTAGGCCCCGACGTTGCTGCACCCAACGCCCATGGATCACAAGTTTAACATCCGAGGGTCCCGCACGGTCTCAGGCATCCGCCCTTGCCGACCGAGGCGAAGGGAGCGTCTTGCCTCGTACTTCGAGCGCGCGTCGCGCGTGCGCAAGAGGCTATGCGCGGTGCTGGCCTCTCGTCGGGGCGGTGGCGGGCCCCACGCCCCGCTGCCTCTCCTCCTCCTCGTGCCCCAGGCCCGCGGCCGAGGGCCCGCCGCCGAGCTGTGAGCTATGGGCAGGGCCAGGGCGAGCCCAGTCCCTCTACCGCGGCCGGCCCCGCGCTGGGCGGATGCTCACTCTGGATCTCGAGGTCCAGTCAAAAAACCACTCGATCGAGCAGAAAAGCCGTTGCTGAGTGAGAACAGTTTTTCGAAGAGGGCTCCCGAACGAGAACGATCTCAGGTCCCAGAATCAATCACCGCCGCGACACTCTTCCCCCTTCAAAGCGATAGGATCGAGCTGAGATCCAGATGGCGAGCAGGAACAAGATCTAAGGGGGGGGGATAGCAACGGGGGGGTACCGAATCAAATCAGCTCACGCAGCTGGCTTCTCTGGCGCCACCTGGCGCCTGGCGGCGGGGCCGAAGCCAGCCGCATGCAGCTGGTTTTGTCCCCCCCCCTCCCCCTTCCCCAATTCCCCCTTCCCCGGGACGGCGATGGGGGTGAATAGCCCAGGGGGGGGGCAATGCATGTATGCAGGGGCGCCGAGGGTCCACGTCTTCGGCGAAGCTCCCCGGCGACTGCGTGTCATGCCCGCCCCTGGGCAATTCCCCCACGTCGTCGCCTCCGACTCCCGTCTGGCCCGACCATCCCACGCAGAGCAAGACACGAGTGCCAGGAGCCGAGTGCGGCAGCGGCCAGGCGGGGAGGAGGCGAGCGGGCACTGGGCGGGCAGAGAGCCGGCGCGCAGGGAACCCTGCGAGGTACAGTCAGCGCGCTACCATGTGGGGCTTTTCTGGCCACGGCGAGCCTCGGCCACGAGCAGGGCCCCCGACCTGGAGATCATAAGCAGCGGCCCGAACACCCGAGCCCCTCCTGAGCCCAAAGTGGTCCTTCTATCGGCGTCTTGACTGTAATCCCATGGCTGGCTGGCCAAACATACCATCCCCCCAAACACGCCAGAACGACCCGGTCGCCCAACTTCGCGCCTTCGCGCAGGCGCCGTGAGGGGAGGGCATGTCTGAGGTCCCCAGGCCGCGAAGTGCGGCTATTTCTACGCTCCTCTGCGGGTGACCTACGGTCGGGAACCTTTGCTCAGCGTGTCGCCGCGGCGGCCCCGGCGACACGCTGTGCCGTGCAAATGGGCAGCGTGTCGCTCCGTTCTGCGGGGCGGGAGGCTCGGAGAAGCTCGGGACGTTGAAGCCTGGGGACCTGGCAGCGGATAACGTGTCGCCCCGAACCGTGGAGGGCCAGAACCGGCGGCGCGACACGCTATTCAAAAGTTCCCGAGCTCGACGACGAGGACCCTGATCAGTGCTGCCGCGCCAGAAGGCTCAGCCTGGAACGCTGTGCGTTCTCGGCCCCGTCTCCCGGGGTTCTCACACCGCGCGTTGACTTCTGTGGGCCCCACGGCCCGAAACGGGCCCCTGGATGGCGCTCAACCTGGACGCCCGCACCGAGGTGGAGCGTCGCCGCCGCGTCGAGGCAACGCGAAGGAGGAACGCTCCCCTTCGTTATCGCGGCGTCCTCCCCTCACTGCCGCACTGGTCGGAGGCACGACGGCGACGGAGCACGCCTCCGAAGGAGCTCCTCATAGCTCCTTCGAGAGGACGAGGAGCGCGAGGAGGCGAACGAGGAACGCTCCCCTTCGTTATCGCGGCGTCCTCTCCTCGCTGCCGCGCTGGTCGGAGGCACGACGGCGACGGAGCACGCGTCCGAAGGAGCTTCTTATAGCTCCTTCGAGAGGACGAGGAGCGCGAGGAGGCGAAGGAGGAACGCTCCCCTTCGCCACCGCGCCCCCCCTCGCTGCCGCGCTGGTCGGAATCACGACGGCGACAGAGTACGCCTCAGCCGCGCCCAGCAGCAGGCCGCAGCAGCGGAAGAGCGGCGATCCGTCCGAGTCGACAAACCACGCAGACGGCTGCACGGGGCATCTGCTGTTTCTGCGCGGAGTCCACCTGGCGTTCCAGATAGGCGGTGGTCGCCTACGGAGCGTTCCGGGGACTGACGGGGACAACGGCTGCCCAGAGCCCCTCGGCGGCGAGGGGTGCCAAGAATGCCAGGCGTCCCTCGGTGGAAGGGGCAACCAGGTCCAGGTCCCGCTCTGCGGCGAGATTGGGCAAGGAAGATCACGATGCCGATGTCGCCACGCCAGTACAAGTCCGGATACCAGCCTGGGCGCACGACGCGGTATCAACGGAACAAGGAGTAGCGCAACAACAGGAAGAGGAGGAGGGCTAGTTGAGACAACGACGGCTCTCCCGCCTGGCCCACATCCGCTCGAAATCGGTCCCTGGACCCCTCTCAGGGTCGATCCTGACCCGTTTTTTGAGGCGGACCCAGCCGTGGCGACGAGTGGCCTCCAGAGGCGGCTCCAAAAGGGGCGAACAGCCTCCCAGGGAGGGCCGTCCCGTCGTCTCGATCGGCCCTCCTCCGAATCAAAGAGGGGCAACCGGGGGAGGGAGCGAGGACCGCGGCGGCGACCGCCTCCAGCGGCAGGGGGGAGCCCGAGCAGCGCCCTGTCCCACTCCGGAGGCTCGGGCGCTCCAACCCTCCGGGGCGAGCGGCCCAGGCCGAGCCTCCTCGGGCGGCCCGCGGGTTGGCGCCGCTGGTGGCGTTCCTGGACGCACCGGCCGGGGGGCTCCTGGAGCAAGGACAAGGCTGACGCGAACTCCTGCCGGCTGCACGCAAAGGGTGACCCCAGGCAAGGGTGACCTCTGGTGCGCGGCTTCAGGAAGGCGCGACGGGGGCCAAGCCCAAGCGCGCGGGCCGCTGCTAGCGCATCGCATTCGGTGGTCGGGGGGCCCCAATGGGCCCGCACCAAAGGTCACTCCGGCGAAGGGTCACTCTTGCGCGCAGTCGATCATGGCATCGCATCGGAGGTTCAGCGGTTGCCGGCCTTTCTGGTTGCGGGCGGGCACGACCGAAGCGAACCCCAACCGATGCACCCCTACCAATTCAAACCGATGGGCGGCGGGGGCGCGGTTCTGACTTCGCCACCGACTCGGCCGCGTGCCGCCGACAATGACCAGCCTGAGGGCGCTGGAGGCCGAGGTGCACGCGAGGCTCTACTGTTTCGAGCAGGGGTGAGGACACACTTGCTGGTGTTCGCCTGCAGGACCTGTGTTTTGCTGCATCCGTCATGGCATGTGCTGTTGCTTCGGTTCACGGTGTCGGCATATGCCAGAGGTGAACGTGCATGCATGCCTTTAGTCCCTCGCAGCGAGGAGCTGCTGGGTCGATGCTGTGGCGCACTAGTTCTGATGACTACTGGTCTTTGCGTGCCCAATCCTTTGAAGACTTCTCTCACATAATATTCCGTATTTCGCCGGCTTCGAATGTTGGCTTGCATGTGTGCTGTCATCGTCTTACCCTTGAAATTTGTGGCGGAAGTCCTGGTCGCCAGGACCAGGTCTCCTCGCCGCTCCTGTCGGCGACGTGCGGCCCAAAAATGCTCGATCATCTGCCTTCTTTTCCTCCTCCTCCTCCTCCTCCTGCTGCTGCTGCTCTTCCTCCTCACCTTGCTCCTGCTCCTGCTCATCCTGCTGGTGCTCCTCCTCCTGCTGTGTGTGTGCGTGATTCTCTCTCTCTCTCTCTCTCAATATCTCTCTCTCTCTTTCTCTCTTTCTCTCCCTCTCTCTTTCTCGCCCTCCAAAGACGGCAACTGCCGGGGATTCCTGCTGGGGTCCTCCTTTTGTGGCGTAGTCTCCTCTGGTCTGCTATCGTTGATTGTCCGCTGCCGCCAGGCTCTAGGAGGGCCGACTGTGCCCCACGCGTGCTCGCAGGTTCAGTCGGGGCGCCTTGCCTCCAGAGAGCTCGTGCGTTGCAGCGCAGAGCGAATCTCTCAGCTCGCCCCCGTGACCGGCCAGCAGGACGCAGTGGCAGGCGACGGTTGGGTGGTGGTCCGCTTGTCGTGATTTCATCGCGCAAGTTTCATATTACATATTTGACGTACGTGCAGACTGACTCATTCATCGTCTCCTGTGTGGGCTTCAACTTTGTGGTTACCTTGTACAGTTCTATGCAAACGTGGATTGACGAGTTTGGCGACACACACGGCTTTGAGTCTAACGTGTTTCTTTGGCATGTGCCATGGCACCGTGAACGATCTACTTAGTATGGTGTTGACCAGTTGTGTTCCTTTTTCTCCAAGGACAGATCTGTGCGTCACGAGGTTCTTGCTCAGCAGGTGGCGTCTTGGCTGTACAGTCTTCACAACCATCCCAAGGTTCTGGTCAACGTGCCCCTTCCTATTTCCATGCTGGCGCGGATGCTTGGTGGGTCTCTCGATGGTTCCCTACGGCGACTTCGTGGTTTTTCTTTCCATCGGCTATTGGTTACCACGCTTATGCTGAGTACACTTCATCGCGTCCGCGCGGCCCTTCGACATCGACCCGTACCCCAATGGGCTCAACATCTGTTCCAGTTGATGCCGTCGGAGTGGTGCAGGGCACTCAATGACCCTACGGGTCCAATTTTCTTGGAGCTTGTCGGGATTGCTACTGGCACGCTCTATTCAGATCGGTCAGCGGT